GGGGGGGAAGAGGCTGGCAATGGTGGTGGTTTATGAGGCAGGAAGAAAAGACAGGGGGGAGGGAAGAGGCGCCCAGTCGCCGATCTAGACACTGGGCTCCAGGGGGGAGGGGGGGAAGAAAAAGACCTGGCGGAAGAGGCCGGGAGGCAGGGAGGGTGCAATGGGTGGCAATGGGAGGCGCGGTCGTGGGCGTGACACGGAGGAGACGCGGCTGGCATTAGCGAGCGAGGGGGGGGGGAGCGCGGGGGCAGGGCGCTTGGGAAAGGAGGGCGGCAAAGGGGCCCGGCGGGCGGCTGGCCCCCTCTAACGTGCGCGCATGCGCGCAGACACACACACACACACACACACACACACAGAGAGACACACGCATGCATGCAGGCAAAAAAAAAGCCACATACACATGGACCCTCTCTTGCCTGCTCGGGCCGCAGGGGGCGGCAGGGGGGGGGGGGCCACCTAAAAGACATAGGCACCGGCGATGGACACGTCGTCCATCTTGCGCTTGTGCTTGTGGGCGTAGACGTGCGCCAGGAAGGCGATATTCTCGATGCCGGTTTTGAAGCTCTTCTCGGCCTCGGCAAAGGCGCCGCGCGAGATGAGGCTGCGCATGGTGTGATGCAGCAGGTACACCGGGGTGGCCAGCTCCGGGGAGGAGACCATGATGTTGTCCATCAGGCCGTCGCTGGCCGTGAGGATCAGGGAGAAGGGCTCAAGGACGGGGGAGGTCTCGATGCAGCCGGAGTCCGTGCTGTCGAACATCTGCGGCGGGACCCCCAGCTGGAAGGGGAAGTTGGCCGCGTGCGACTGGGTGGTCGATTGGAAAACCAGCTTCGAATACCGGTCGAAGATCAGTGTCCCGGAGTCGCCGAGGTTATAGGAGTACACCCGGCGATTGGAGAGGTCGATGCCGGAGAGGGCGAGCGTCGAACTGCTGACGTAGCCGTCTGGACATGGGCGGCGGGGGGCGGTGGAGAGTGAGTATGGCCGGGCGGGGGAAAGGGCAAGGGCCGGGGCCCGCCACTGGAAGAGGGCGAGGAGGGCGCGGGGAGGCGCACCGGGGAAGTAGCCCGGGTCGCTGATGGCCGCCATGTGGCTCTCGGCCACCAGGCGCGACATGGCCGGTGCTGAGAGGGCCGAGATGTGCGCCGCCCGGCGCTTGAGCTCGCGCACGAGCTTCCAGGAGAAAAGGGACGGGTCGTGGTTGTTCTGCCGGTGGCCGGAGACCCCGTCGGCGGCGCCGAGGAAGAGAATCTTGTTGCTGGACCCGAGACTGAAGAAAACCGCGTCATCGCCGATGGCCGCGAAGGCCGGCTTGTACGAGGCGACATTCATCTCGGAGGGGAGCTTGTTGACGTCGCCTGCGGTGGGGGGGAGATTAGGAGGGTTAGCGTTCGGAGCGCGGGCGAGGCTCGGCACCCCGGAGATGGCCGTGTGTCAGGGGGAGCGCAGTGGGGGGGGGGGGGGGGGGGAGGAGGGGCAGGCGGCGA